AGACACTATGTCACACCAAGAATATCCATTGTAACTAATGGAATCAAACTAAACCTTTAACCTTTAACCTTTCAGTCTCTCTCTCTGTATATATGTATGTATATGCAATGTGATCAATATCTTCTAATAAGGATGCTACTAGTAACATAATTTGTGTAGAAGTAATATTTGAATAATAAGTATCTTTATGTTAATTGCTTCTTCTTTGTCCCCCACAGGTTTTGAAGGAAGGGCTGTGCAGTATTTTGATGGTCGGTGATAAACGTCAGTGCTATAGAAACAACAGGAAGATATTAAAAGTTGACCTTACTCCAATCAAAATCTGTCTATTGTAGTACAATACTAGTCTGGTCATCATGTCATCACATCCAAGTCCTGGAGGCCTGGATGAAGGAGACATCCGCATATTGAAGGTGTTCAAGTTTATTTCCTGTGAAGGACGAAAATTGCTCATGTTTGTATTTTGTAAAGGATGTCCCAAACTTGGACATGAAACAGTTGAAAAATACCTGAAGAGCAAAGGCATGACAAATCAAGATTACAGAAAATACTTTGATTCTAGTATGAGGAAGAAAATTCAAGATGATCCTTCAGGAAAAAACTTTGATGTAAGTTTACTTCATGCTGTTATCAAGAACGCTTGTGAAAAAGTTGCACCTCCCCATGAAGCCGAAAAATGGAGCATTACAGGTGATCAACTTGAGAACTACTGTTCCAGGATTAAGCATGAGAGAAATTGCATTGCCCATGGGTCAAAATTTCCAGATGAGGATGCTATGACTAACAAACTTGAATTTCTACGTGATCTGTTGGAGAAGGGATACAAGTCTGCCGGCAATTGCTACTCTATCACATCATCAACAATTAATAATGAAATTAAAAGAATGAATGCCAATTTTGAACAAATAAAAGATGCACCAGGTATTCCTGTAGATGCTAATAAGTACCAGGATGAAATCAGAAAGTTAAGAGAACATTTTGAAAATTATATGAAAACGAATGGAGTGGTAGAGTTAAAGGAAAAGATAAAAACAGAGACAAACGTGGACCCAGCATCTTTCATCTCGGGCAATGAGACGCTTAAAGTGAGAGCCATTTTCACAAATTTGGAAGTTGTTATGGAAGATAAAGCACTAAAGCATGAAAACCAAACTCACATTAATTACAAATCTGTGCTAGAGCAGAAGACTAAAAAAGGAAAGACGCCCAACATAATAGTAATTGAAGGGGAGGCGGGTGCAGGGAAAAGCACATTTACCAAACTCATTCTAGCAGAGTGGGCCGCGATGTCCCCCAGCTATCACACGCAGATTAGGAATCTAGAGAGCTATGACATGGTCTTGTATGCTGAATGCAAGAACAAATTTGTCACAAACTTTGCTGACTTGCTAAACTTGCTCATGCCTTGTGCTTCTTACTCCATGTCAAATGAAGACATTGTGCGTTCTGTGTTGGCTCACAGAGTTCTACTAATTCTTGATGGACTGGATGAACTAAACAAAACTTCTAGGCAGTTAGTTGAGGAGATTATGAGGGATAAGATGCCGAGGAGCACAGCTGTATTTCACCTTCTGCTCACTACTAGACCGCAGGCACTAAAGGAAGTAATCCGCCTTTGCCAAAAGTCTGAATGGATACACATGAGAATTTTGGGCATCTCACCTGAGCAAAGACCAGACTTTGTGCATAAAATGCACGAGGAAATGAAAAAAGAAGGTATGAGCACAGAAGACACCCAGAAGTTGGAGGATTATGTAAGGAAATCAGAAGCTCGTCTGGGAGAACATTTTCGTTTGCCCCTAAACCTTACTCTCTTAACCTACTTATGGGCTGAAAGCCCTGAAGATGTCAACTCAGTCACAACAGCTACTCACCTCTTCTTGAGAATTCTACAACTCATTGAATGTCGTGTTGTAAATCGCATTTATGAGAATCATCATGGTGATATGGATGAAATTACTGACAGTGTCAAGGAATATATGGAGGTGCTGAATGAGAAATGTTTTGAGGAGATTATAAGTGAATCCCTGCAGCTAAGTGAATCTTCACAACAAACACTTAAGGGGAAATGCAAGGACCTTAACCTTCCATATAGTGACATGTCTGCAGCTTTTATGAATGTGACCCGAGAATGGACTGCAACTGGTTATGTACTTCACCTCACTGCTCCACACAAAAGTATTATGGAATTTTTTGCAGCGAGATGGATTCAATCTTGTTTGAAGAGGGATGGGCCTAAGAAAAAGAATTTGAAAAGCATTTTGGAGGACTTGAAATGTTATGAATCTTCGTTGCCTATGTACCAGAATGTGTTGCTTCACCTAAGTGGATTGCTGAAAGATGGTAAATGTACCCTTGACCAGCATGCAGAGGAACTGGTGGAGCTATTGACTAAGGCAGGGACGACAGAGCAACAGTGGCTAGACATAATTGCCGAGTCAGAGTGCAGTGAAAGTGTTGTAAAACACATAGCTCCAAAGATTGAGAAGGTACATTTTTGCTTGTGTATATTATCTGAACAGAAGTTTGATAAATTTCACATCAGTAGTGTGATAACAGTGTGACGTATAATATGCACATACTCATACTTTTGCATTATCATACACACCCACACAAAGAAGGACATAGGAATACATGCATAGTATGTATACACACCTAACAACCATTTTCTCTTTTCTAGACACTTACTGTACGAGATGGTCACACAGGGGCAGCTGCCAGTATTTTTAGCCATCTACTAGAATCAACTCCTGTTAAAGTGATCTTGAACTGTGAAATAACATACATTCCACACTTGCACAATTTTCTTGAAAAGCTTGCCAATAGAGAATGTGTTGCTGAACTTCATTTCAGACATCAGTGGAAGAATATACTGTGTGGGAATTCTAGCGATCTTCTTCTGAATCTGAGTAAGAGCAAGTACGTAGCCAGAACTGGTGCATATTCCATTTATTTTCAGTCAAGATTTACATTCTTAATATTATTATTTTGATATATGAATGTGTAATTCAGTCTCTTCACGTGTACTAAAACTATTACTCATTTAATCTAGAGATTGTGCTTAGATACATGAAAAACAAAATGTTATTCATCACTTAAAAAAGAAAGTTTTTATTATTATTGAAAGTTCATACTTTAAGAATTCTTGCCCTCTCTTCCTCACTCACACACACACACACTTAATGTATATATTATTATTATATTTATATGTACACATGTATATGTATGTATAAATATACACAATTTTATTTTTCCCTATATATTTGCATATATATGTGTCTGTATATATATATATATCCTTCACGTCGGGTGACGCCTAGAGTCGTGAAAACAAATCGCTCGAAATGTGGCGTGCGGCTGTATGCCGCGGGGGCGCGCCAAAGCGCGGCTAGCCTTTGATTCGGCTTGATGTACCGAACTCCCGCGCTAAAAGTCGGCGCGCTGCCATTGATCGCCAGAGCGTAGAGTTTCTTTTTTATAGTTTTCTTCACTCATCACCATTGGGATATATATTTATATACCATCATCATTATCATTGAGGAGGTAACGCCGGCTGGGGCGAATACCTGCATCCACCATTTGCTTCCACCTATGAGGATCCCTTATGGCGAGCCACCAGGCAGGGGCCCCGGCCATCTCTAGCTCCTCACGACAGGTTTGATCGATCTGCCCAAGCCACAACTTCCTCGGTCGTCCCACAGGCCTCCTCCACCCAGGGTTGTCTCGAACAGAGACAACCTGGTGGCAGGATCATCCTGTGGGAAATGAGCCAAGTGGCCGTGTAGCCTGAGTTGGCGATGCCCAAGGTCCTGTACCAGTTTTACGGTGCAAACATTGGCTGAAAACATGGTCCCGCCAACTGTACTCCATGATCTGGCACAAGGATCTGGTACAAAAGGTATGTAGCTTGGTCTTTCTGGACAGGTACCGGCATCTCCAAATACTCTTGTTGAGAGATTTCATAGCACCTTCTGCCAAGCCAATCCATCTACTGACTTCCTGGTCTGACAGCCCGGCGTCATGAACTGCACTACCAAGGTTTATAAAGCTCTCTGTGACCTTGATATTGCCCAGAGTTGCACCACAGTGACTTTGGACAGTAGCACTACCCAGTATCCAGTCCATGTAAGTGTTGAAAAGTGTTGGTGCAAGAACACAGCCTTGCCTCACTCCTGAACTAACAGGGAAGAAGCTTGACAGGCGCCCACCACACTTTACAGCACATTCAGTGCCTGTATACAGGTTTGCTATTAATCTAATAATCCTTGTTGGAATTCCTCTTAATCTCAGGATCTCCCAGAGCGATTCATGATGCATCGCATCAAATGCTCTCTTGAGGTCCATATAAGCTGCGAGCAGCCCATGTTCATTCTCACGACGGTGCTTTACAAGGACTCGAAGCCCCTAGGATATTGTCTATTGTGGACTTACCAGGAGTGAATCTAGATTGCTCCAACCTCTGGTGCCTCAGCAGGTGGTCTCTGATACATCTCTAAAGGATGTGCGCGAGTACCTTGCCAGGTATACTAAGTAGTACAATGCTTTGGTGATTGCTGCAGTCCCACCGATCCCCTTTCCCCTTCCAGAGTGGAATGACCACACCCCTCAGCAGGTCAGGAGGAATAGTACCAGTCTGCCAGATGGCAGACAGGACAGAATGCAAACCACTTGCTATAGGTTCTCCACCAGCCTTTAAAATTTCAGCTGGGATTCTGCAAAGACCTGCTGCTTTACCACTCTTCAGCTTGGAGATCGCTCCCCTGACTTCAGTCAGGAAGGGTGGATTATCGCTGATGTGTGGGTCTGGCAAAGGAATCTTGACATTACCTGCATCCAAGTTAATTGTTGGTGGATCAATCTAGTACAACTGCTCAAAATACTCAGCCCAACGCACCCACACCTCATCAGGATATGAGATTATCTGGCTCCTTGCTGAGCAGACTGCAGTCATCTATGAGGGGGGCTTATCCCTTCCCACCAGTGACCTAGTCCTGCACACC